AAAGATGGTCTGTAGGACTTCGGTAAAGCACTTTTCTCCACATCAAGTCAAATAAAAGTTACTCACCATCAGACCTGCGGCTATAATTCCTGGGAACCACCACTCAAAGCAAGAGATGGGGTTTTTGAAAAATTCGCCTTCCTCAAGTCTGTTGACAATGAGAGGTATTGCATTGAGAGCTACTCCCAACAGAAGTAGAACCAACAGGCTGAATGCATTGCAGGATGTCCATCCTTCACAGCAGGTCATGGTGACCCCCTGGTCCAGTTAGAAATGCTATTCAAGTGGCTGTTTGTGTGGCACTGTCTTGCCTTTATCCTGAGCCTCCTAATCTAGTTAAAGTTTAGCACTTATGAAATTTAATTTCAGGAGGTGGTTTAGAGTCCAAGAGGGCAGACCTTATTGTGAGGACAGGAAGTAAAGATAAGTTTATATTATGATGAGATTGGGAAAGGAAGGCGGGGAAAAGGTCTGTGGTTTCTGTTAGATAAATGTATGCATGCAAATAGGCAGATAGTAACTAAGAACAAGGAAGAAGGGGTTAAAAAACGCTCCTCTAACATATTTTACCAGTGTACCGTATAGAAGTGAAAGCAAGAATACCCAGTTAACATAAACTATTTTTTCCTGTTGTGTTGACATTACCAAGTAGTGAAGTTCTTTACTTTGAAATTGTTTAACAAGAAAACAAATAGGAGATTGGGGGGAAAGTATTTTCTCTGCTACAAATGTTCTTGATTAGTCAAAATTTTAGGGAATACACAAAATTGTAAATTTCTTTATGTCATATCATTCCAGTCTTGCAGACTAACTCATTTAGAGGTAACCCACTTAGGACTTGTGGGAGGTTTGGTCAATGCTACTAGACTGGAAGTGTTCAAGTATGGACACCAGAATCAAACATAGGAATAGGAGAGAGGCTGGAGGAGAGATGATGATGTTTTATTTTCTTTAAACCCTAGTACTTACTTGGTCATTTACAGAATATTTTTAGACTAAGCTTCCCAATTGTCTTTCTACTAGTTTGTGAGCTTCTCAAGCAAAGGTATGTCAGTGCAATAGGCTTTAAATACAAAAGTTCTCACTTATGCTAATTGTTCATCATGAATTGACAAGGGGGCTCTGCTCATGGTAGTTGCTGAGAGTCCCATACTCACAGAGGCAGCCATCATCTCCATTCTGGCTTCCACAATTGTAGAGGCAGAGTGAAAAGACATGATGAGCCACATACTAAGTCTGAGCATTTTTGTTCATGCTTTATTGGCCAAATGAGTCACTCAATTATGTTTCAAATGAGTGATGAAATATAAAGCAACTTTTATCCAGAAGCAAAATGAACCTTAGGCAGCTCTAATATTTACCATGCCTTCCTCCCATCCCAGTCCATAGCACAGATTCAGCAAATGCTGTTGGGAATGATGAAGGAAGGAAAGAAGGATGGAAGGAAGGATGGAAAACAGGATTGGAAGGAGGGAGGAAGGGAGGGAGGGAGGGAGGAAGGTGTGGAGTCCATCTGTAAGTTCAGGTACAATGGGCTTAGAGAGTAGCTCCCCATCCTACAAAAGTAGGAGACAGAGGGTACTGGGGAGGCAACCTGCAGACTCTACCATATCATTAATTAATGAGTTGCACCAGGAGAAACAAGCAGTCTGCAGAAAACGAGTAGGAGGAGATGGTGAAGACACAGGTGTGCAGGAAGTGTGAGGGGTGGAAAACATCTGGCCCATGGGCCATTTAAGGCCCACAAGATCATTTGGTCTGGCCCTGCCAAGGCATTAGGGTTGAGTTAATTAAATGTTTGACCAAATATAGCAGGTTAATTTTTAAGTTAGTAATCTTGTATGGCCTGCAGATGATGTTATAAATATCCAAATGGCCCTTGGCAAAATAAAGTTCCCCACCCCTGTTCTAGATGGAGGCAGAGAAAAGGTAGCTGCCTGGTTTCTCAAAGGCCTTCTACTTTTTTATTTCTACTCTATGGAGTAGATCACTCCAGGTAGACACCTACTGACTGCAGGTCCTGTCCTTGTTTTCTGTGAGATGTCTCTACATTCTTAGAATAAATTATCCCCTTTATACTACTGTAAGTGGGCTTCCATTTATTTGCAAACAAAAATGCTAAAACTATAAGTTCCTAAAATCAAGGATAGAAATATACAAATATCTTGTCCCCTACCACACTGAAGCAGCAAAAGGAGTTCAGAAAAAGGAAGGATTCTCTCGAGATGGGCCAGGAACTAGGATTCCTCTCAGTTTTGGAGGATGGCTAGAATTTGACACAAAGAGATGGTCAGAAGGGTGTTTCTGACAGGTGCAGAAAACCAAAACTCTCCTAGCTATGCTAAGCAAGGGGATGAAGTAATTGGGGGATTATGGATACAAAATTGTTAGGAGGGGTGCAGGGGCATTTCCTATTCCTGTCCCCTGGGAATGCCTTACAGGACAGGAATGCTGAATGGTCCAGGCTGCTGCTGCCTCTGCAGTAGTCAAAGAAGGCATGGAAATTGGTCGAGTTCAAGCACACACCACTGTAGCTACAGTCCAGGAAGCCACTGCCACTGTGTGGCTCCTGTCCCTACACACCCTCAAAGCTATTGACTAAACTCTGGAGCACTGCCTGTGATGTCTGCTGACACTACAACTGTTTCTTCACTTCGGTGAAACTAGTAACTGGACCCAGGGACATCGCTGCAGTGCAGAAAATTCAACACTCCAGTCTTTCTTAACAGCAACAGACAAAAGTAGCAGAAAGAGGACTTCCACCTCATTTTTGTCTTCCACATTTCTCAAGGGTGGATCTAATTGTTGCAATATCCAGAGCTTAGATTTAGAGTATTCTAGGAAATGTAATTTTCAATCATTCTGGCTTCTGCCACACAGAAAGGCATCCTAGCTAGAAGGACATAAAAAGGGATATTGAGCAAGACAGTTCAGCATAGTGATCTTGTTTAACCTGTATGAAGAAAATTTTCTGTAGATTATCTGGGATGACCATGTAACAGGTCCTTTTAAAATAATTTGAATTATGTTTGTATTTCTTACATATCTTAGATATCTAGAATGTCTGGATATTTAGACTTGCATGTCTAGAATGATATGTAACATTTTAAAAACAAGTTGAAACTACCTGTTTAGTTCCAATGAGAACACTTCAAGAGAATTAGATTTGTTTCTTTAAGAGATAGGAAAGAGTTAGTATAAGGAAGACTGGAGTCCCAGCCAAGTCTTATTTGTACTATTGGTGAAAACAAGAGGTGATACAAAAGCATCTTGTTTTATCCTCTCCCTAAGCCCATCGCTCCCCTGCTTAGCTCCCTGCACACCATTGTCCTGGGAGCAGTGAGGATTGTAGCCAAACATCAGGAACCGCATTTCCTATTACACTGTATAGAAGAAGGTAGCTCCTGCTATTTTCTGCTCCATCTTCTCAACCCCTATCTCTGAAGCTCCACCCCATGAAAGATTCACATGACCTTAAGGTAGCTCCATCCATGCATCAAGTATGCACCACAGTACCCTGTGTTACTACCCCAGGAAGAATTTATGTGGTATGAATAGGTATGACATGCCTAGCCATGTTCTGTCAGGCATCCTGTCCTAAATACACTCCCATTAAAGGTTTTATTAGGACATGAGTTTTATATGCAGACACAGCTACTTGTCCATCAACATTCATGCTTTTACTTTTCATAGTAGACTAGAGGCCCAGTGCACGAATTTGTGCATGGGTGGGATCCAACTGGTCCTCCCCGATGGGGGTCCATCAGACAGGGCTGGCAGGGGGGGAGGGGCCTCGGATAGTTGGCAGCAGGCTCCGCCCCCAATAGGGGTGTTGGGGGCCAATCAGGGGGGACAACGATCAGGGCCCAGATCAGGCTGGTTGGCTACCGCAGTGCCTGTCATAGCCACCAGTCGTTCTGGTCATTCTGGTTATTTTGGTTGTTCTGCTGTTCCAGTTGCTGGGCTTTTATATAGAGAGATAATTGTTGGAAAATGTCTGCCAGTCATGAACTACATTTCCCAGCTCTCCATGCATTTACATTGGGCCAAGTGACTACTTCTCATCAATGGGAAGTGAGGGAAATAGACTGTGTCACTTTCACACTAAGGATCTTAACACATTGTGGACCAGTAGTTTTATTGCTGGCTTTGCCCAGTGGCCAGATAAGTTTCTATTGAATGGGTACAAAAAACGTTTTACATAAATGTTAAAGGTATGCTTTAAAATTAAATGCCCACTGTATTTTGAAGTTATTTATTACATGTTCTTACAAGCTAATATCTTTTTAAAGAATTCTCGTGATAGGCCACAAACCTTAGAACAAAAAACACGAGAATTCTCGTGATCTGTCCGCAATGTGTTAGGTTGGTAATTATGTATGGCTTGCGAATGAGGTTATAAATATCCAAATGGCCCTTGACAGCTTAGCATTTTATTCAGAAATTATATTTAGGAGTATTATTAGAAAATACTAAAACAGTAAGAAGCATACAGTATATAACCAAGGTCAGTAATAACACAAGTGCAGGAGCTCTACAAACAGAAAAGTAAAGATTTCAAAAGAATTAAATACATTAAAAAGCATTATTTCATTCCACTGAGCTCATTAATGTGAATTGTTACACCCTAAGGAGCAAGCTGTGGCCTGTTCTTATTGCAGTACAATTGATAGATCGAGTTGGATTGAAAGATGTTTATGTATGTACTTTATAAATACTGTGTATATGTAAATGACAGTACACCAACATATGTAAAAGTGTCTATCGGGTAGAGAACCTGCAAGTTTAGTTTTGAGAACTCAGTAGTGTCATATACCACTAAAATTATAAAGGTCTTTAGAGATTCTTAGCTCAAGCTTATCATTTTACAGTTGAGTAAGTATGACAGTAAAACTCAGGGAAGCTAAGGTGACATTCATAATCAGGCTGTTCTGGCAGAGCATGGACTTGATTTGGGGGCTTCTGACTTCTAATCAGGTATCTTTCTATTAAATCACAAGCTCAATGTGTAGGTGAACCAGAGAGATGAAAGTTCAGGATGTCTAAACATCTAAGCACAGGAGTGATCCCACCCCCTGCAGCACCTGCCAGGAGACCGGGCCGCCTAGCAGCAGCATTGCTTCTGACAACAGCACTTACACTGGCAGCACTTCTGCTGGCAACAGCCCTTCCCACAGCCACAGCCACAGCCACAGCCACAGGAGCCGCAGCCACAGGAGCCACAGCCACAGGAGCGGCGGCAGCAGCAGACCACGGGGACGCTGCAGCAGCCCCCACCGCAGCCACAGCCGCAGGGGCCGCC